CCCGGCGCCCCGGCCCCTGCGCCCCCCGACCACCACTGCACGAGGCAGCTGCCAGCCCTCAGTCTCTGCTCGAACCTGGGGGGTCAGGAGGTGAAGCCCGGGGCCCTCTCTGTCTCAGTGTTCAGAGGGTCCAGAGCGTCCGCAGCGGGGAGGGCAGGGACTGGAGGGGGGCCAGGCCTGTGGACTGCGAGACGGACCGCGAGAGTCAGTGAATTCCCTTCGGGTCACAAGCCTGTCGGCTTCTGACAGCCTCATGCTGTCGCATGTGTCCTGGGCAGCCCCTGAGCAGTGGGTGGCCTGTGGAGGGGCTGCTGGCACCACAGGGACCCTCAAGAGCAGAGGCTCCCTGTGAAGACCCCGCAGGCCTGCACCGGGAAGGTGGCAGCGAGCCTCCCTGAGTCGGCCCTGCCGGTCCTGACCACATCTCCATTGTTCCCAAAGCGCGGCGAGCCGGGCCGGTGAGGACAGCCTCGGGGGCGAGCTCCCGTGCCCCGTGGTCCCCGTGGACCCCGCGGCCTGCGCTGTCCCCGACGTGGCGCTCTGTGCCTTCGCCGTGCTGGACGACCTGCTCGTCACCCTGGTACAGGGCCCCGCCCAGTGGAAGATGCAGTTGTTCGAGCGCCCCCACCCAGGAGAGGACCCCCAGCTGGGAGGCCCCATCGGGGAGGTGGAGTTATCCACCTGCAACCCCCCAGCTGGGGTCCCCGAGAAGCCTGCGGCCCCCCGCTTCCTGCCAGTGTTGTGCTGTATGTTCCCTCCAGGCGCCAGGGATCCTCACGGGCACTCCCAGGGCCATGGGGGCTTTGTGCTGAAGGAAGCCCTCTTTGGGCTGCTCTTTGGAGCTGACGCCACCCTCCTGGAGTCCCCTGTGATCCTCTGTGGCCTCCCTGATGGCCAGCTCTGCTGTGTGGTCCTGAAGGCCTTGGCCACCTCCAGGTCTGCCCCTGGTGACCCGAAGGCGCTCGTCAAGATCCTCCATCACCTGGAGGAGCCTGCGGTTTTCATTGGGGCCTTGAAGACCGAGCGCCCGGCTGAGGAGGCTGCGGAGGAGGTGCTGCCAGAGGAGGGGCAGCACTCTGACTGCCTGGTGGCCCTTGGGCACCAGGGCCGGGCGTTAGCCATCAAGGCCAGCTGGAACGAGTCTGGGAGTTTAGTGCCAGAGCTTCGAGAGTATTGGCTCCCAGGGCCGATGCTCTGTGCTGCCTGTGGAGCAGGCGGCCGCGTGTACCTCAGCACTCCCTTGGACCTCTGTGTGGTGGACCTGGCGCAGGGAAGTGCCCCTTCGGACCCCCAGCAGCCCCACAGGGATCTGGGAAGCCTGCCCCTTGAACTGTGTCCAACCAGCTTGAGCATCTGCAGTGTCCTCACGCTCTCCGTGTCATCTAGGACTCCTGCAGGTACATGCTGCTGCTTAGATGCGGAACACCAAAGTCTTAGGGAGAGGCCTTCCTCCTTGTGGTCTTCCCTGAGCTGGCCTGTCTTCTCGTGGCTGCCTCTGACCTTTCCTTAGCTGGCCAGTATTGGCTTGGCCTCACTGGCATGGCTTGGCGATGCACTCCCTTCTGTCTGGGGTCGAGGAGCAGCTGTATGCTGTATGCACGTCCTTCCTGGGCTCAGGGAAAGGACTGCTGCCGGGCCTGAGTTTGCTCCGACTCCTGGCTCAAATGGCGACTCAGAGCGTGTTGCCTGAGGAACCAGAGGAAGAGCAGCTCCAGCTCCCTCAGCAGGTCTGAAATCGGGTCAGGCCGACATTTCATGTGGAGTGAAGGGCTGAGACACACCTGCCTCAGCCACTCGGGGCTGAGCAGAGAGCATCTCAGCTTCTCGGGCCAGAGGTCTTAGCTGCATCTGCTTGATGTTGGGGTGAGAGAAAGTCGTTTCCCATTGGGTGGTCAGTGTACTGGCAGACCTGCTGACAGAAACCTCTGGGGAGAAGGCTTTGAAGGGAAGCAAGCCCCGGGGGTGGGGACACCCGTGAGCAGACCTTCCGCTGCTCAGCCACCCACCTCCGTAGAACTCAGGCCACAGCGGTGTTGGAGTGGAGGGGCTGGGTCAGTCAGATTGCTCCAAATCTTCCTCCTTCCTAGGAGGAAGAGGGCACTGCAGAGGTGGTCAGTCGGGCTGGAAAGGCGGCTCAGCGGTACAGTGCTCGCCTAGCACGCAGGAAGTTCTGGATTCCATTCCTCAGTGCCACAGATTCAGAAAAAGCCAGAGGTGGCAAGTGGTAGAGTGTTAGCCTTGAGCAAAAGCTCAGGGACAGCGCCCGGCCCCGGCCCTGAGTTCAAGGGGAGGCAGTCTATAGGGGTGTCCAGGGAGGACAGGGGTGAGCAGTGGCCGGCCTTGCTCCTGTGCCCAGCTGCAGATTGAATCCTGTCCTTGTTTCACCCCTTTGCCATTTCCCGCCACGGTGCCCCCTCCACGCTGACGAAGGGCTCAGGGAAGCCCTCCAGAAGATGTGAGCCACCAGCCAGCAGCTCCCTGCCGGCTTGGCTGCACCTGGGTCTCCTGCCGCTCACTGCCCTGGCCTTCCTCCAGCAGCCCGGGAAGAGCCCCGCCCGCTAGCCCTGCCCGCTGGCTGACTCTGTGTGTCGTCATCAGGTGGCACGGAGCTCCTGGCCCTGACTGCCAAAGGCCGCCTGGTGAGCTGCAGCGTGGACCTGAACTCTAAGAAGACTGATTCTGCCAGAGTGTCCGTGGCAAATGCAGGCCAGAGGATTAAAGAGCTGCTTTCTGGCATCGGTGATATCTCCGAGAGGTGAGCAGTGGTTGCGGCCCTGGTAGTGTATCGTAGGGCTGTGCTGCGTATTCATGAGGCGGCGTCCTGGGCTGGAGTGTCCTTGGTGGTCTTTGTGCTCGTCAGTCTGCACTTGCTCTGCAGAGAGCCCAAAAGGCCGCCTGGAAGGTCAGATGAGTGATGCCCCTTTTCCCTGGCTGGACGTTACTCTTCCTTCTCTGCCCATGCGTCTCCTCTGACCTGTTCCTGCTGCTCAGGATGGACGGTGGTGGTGGCCGCAGTGGACAGTGAGGGAGAGCACGTGGCAGCACGTCTCCTCCCCGCTTGCTCCGTGTCCCGGGGTCCGGGGCTGTTTCCACGGTGTCCACCATCCCACTGCCACCACAGAGGGCAGGGGGTGGCCTGAGCGGGGCTGGACCAGCCCAGCCAGGGGCATCACCTGCCCTGAGCGGCCGGCGTACGCGGCGGGCTCGTGGGGAAGGGAGCCGGGCCCCCTCCCTGAGTGCCGCACCCGCTCTTCACAGAGTGTCTTTTCTGAAGAAGGCGGTGGACCAGCGGAACAAAGCCCTGACCAGCCTCAACGAGGCCATGAACGTCAGCTGCGCCCTGCTGTCCAGCCGGGAGGGCCCCCGGCCCGTCTCGTGCACCACCACCACGGCGTGGAGCCGCGTGCAGCTGCAGGATGTGCTGATGGCCACCTGCCTGCTGGAGAACAGCAGCTGCTTCAGCCTGGAGCGGGGCTGGACGCTGTGCGTCCAGGTGCTCGCCAGCGCCTCCGCCCTGGACCTGGGTGCCGCCGGCCCCGCAGTCACCTACACCATCCCGGTGGACAGCCTGGGCCCGGGCAGCCGGCGAGAGGTGACCCTGCCGTTGGGCCCCAGTGAGAGCGGCGAGTTCGAGCTGCCCGTGACGGTGTCCTGCACGCTCTTCTACAGCCTCCGAGAGGTGGTGGGCGGGGCCCTGGCCCCCGCCGACCCCCTGGAGGCACCCTTTCTGGAGGAGCAGCCCCTCGACCTTCTTCCCGAGCAGGAAGGCATCTGTCTGCCTCTGAGTAAGCACACGGTGGACATGCTGCAGTGCCTGCGCTTCCCCAGCCTGGTCGCAGCACACACGCAGGCTCCCCGCCTGCCCGGCCCTGCCCACGACCCTGTGGACGCCTTCCTGGAAACCTGCCAGCCGCCCGGCAGCCAGCCCTCCGGCCCGGCCTCCCTGCGGGCCAAGTACCTGCCCCCGTCCTCTGCTTCCGTCAGAGTGTCAGCCGAGCTGCTCAGGGCTGCCCTGGAGGCTGCTCGCTCAGGTGGGTGCTGTTGCCTGGCTCTCCTCTGGCTTCAGGGCCAGAACATGGGTCAGCCTTGGGTTCATCCCTCCCCACCCCCCAAGTTCTGCCACATCCTGGTTGCTGTCCGAGTCTTGTGCTACGTTGTCCTACCGCTGTGTTTTTCTTTTGTGTTTCTTAAAAACTGGGTGTGGAGCATAACCTGAACACAAGCAGACACCCCTGGGGAGCAGCTCGGTGAGTTTTCACACAGCAAGAACTCGGGTCGCTTGTCCAGCACCAGCGGCCCGGCTCTGCTCTGAGCCCCTCTTGAGCTCCGTGTCTGCTCTCTGTGTCTGGCTCTGCTCCCACGGCACTGTGTGGAGCCCTCCGTGCTGGGTGCTGTTGAATTCTGTGGCAGAATAGGGTCCCAGCTGTGGGCGTTGCTTCCCGGCACCCAGCAGGTGTTGGGTGGTTTCTGGGCTGCGTCTTGCACCTGGACGCAGCCACAGCTGTCCCCAGCGTGTTCCGGCTGTGCCCAAGCAGCTGCCTGCCCTTCCTGGCCGCCTGCTAGCAGAGCCCAGCTCAGGGCTGGGTGGTGTTCTCACCTCTAACCATCTGTCTCTCACGCCCCTCCCCACCGTCCCCTCAGGGGGCCCAGCGTCCTGCCTGGGTTGGGCTGTGAGCAGTGGGGATGCTGCCTGGGGGGGCGTTTGGGAGAGGCTATCGTGTGTCTCGCAGCAGCCCGGCTCACGCGCCTGGCCGGCCCTTTGTCCAGGCGTCCCCCTGTGCAGCGCCACCCTGCAGTGGCTCCTGGCTGAGAACCCTGCCGTGGACATCATCAGGGCCCGCGCACTGTCCTCCATCCAGGGAGTGGCTCCAGATGGGACCGACATCCACCTCGTCATCTCTGAGGCAAGAAGGGGTCTGTTCACCTGCCCTGGGGAGACGGGCCTCAGTACCCACACTTCTCTGGGGCCCTAGACCAGTGCGTCCGGCCCCACCATCTGTCCCCCTCGGGAGCAGCTGACCTGCTGGGCCATCAGAGCAGCGGGCCCGCTTGGGAAGCTGAAGACCCTCCTCTGTGCCTCGTGCCAGAGGAAACACCTAAAACTCCAGCCATTCAGGCTGGGATCTCAGGATAGACTAATCTGAATCAGCGAAAAGGACAGCCAGGTACCAGTGACTCACACCCGTAATCCCAGCTTCTCCAGAGGCTGAGATGTGAGGATCGCAGTTCAAAACCAGCCCAGGCAGGAACGTCCATGAGACTCATTTCCAATAAACTACCAAAAGAAAGCCAGAAGTGGAGCTGTGGCTCACGTGGTAGAGCATGAATGTTGAGCAAAAGACGCTCAGGGACAGCACCCAGTCCTGAGTTTCAGACCCAGAACTGGCACAAAGAAAAGAGATGTCTGTGGGTCAGAAGGGTGTGGCTGAAAGACTGCTGTAAAGCTGAGGTCGCCAAAGGCCAGTCCGACAGAAGTCCGGAAGCAGCCTCAACTTGCCCTGGCACGGCTCGGTCTAAGGCCTGCCGCAGCCCTGCTGTGCACGAGGTGTGGGTGGAGGCTGACCGCAGGGCTGCGCGCAGTCCCTAGCACGTGCCACGTGCTGAGCAAAGGCGGACGCCCAGCCCCAGACCCCAGCACTCGGCTTTCTCTGCCAAAGCTAGCACCCCACCACTCGAGCCAAACGTCCACTTCCGGCTCTTTGCTGGTTCATTAGAGATGAGCGTTTTGGATTTGTGGTCCCGTCTCCGGAGTAGCTAGGCATGCAGGCGTGGAGCCACGGCTCCGCGTCCTTGCGGCCCCCTCCAGGGTGGTGAGCGGCCCCTGCGTGTGTTGCAGGTGGCTGTGACAGACCTGAGCCCCGCGGGGCCCATCCAGGCCGTGGACATCCAGGTGGAGAGCCCCTCGCTGGCCGACATGTGCAGAGCGCACCATGCCATCGTGGGGCGCATGCAGGTACCGAGCCCCAGGCGCTGGACGGGAGGGAGGCTCCGGAGGGCTGGGGTTTGCGCGCAGAAATGAGTTGTTTCCGTTTCCTGCTGGGTCCTCCTAGCAGCGGCCACCAAGTCCCCAACCGGGGTGTTGTTCTACCTGTGACTGACTACCCGCAGGGCCCTGGCCCCTGCAGCCAGGCCCTCAGCGAGCGGCTGGTGACTTCTCAAGCTGGCTCTTGACTGTGGCCCTCCATATTGTCACCCTTGAACATCAGGATCTGCCAGCCAGCAGCTTTTGGGGCCACGGCTTGATGCACTGTGAGCGTGGGCCTGGCCAGCGGCCAGCGGCCCTCAGAGGCCTAAGGCTGAGCCTGGTGATCTCCCAGCACTGATTCATTGTGATTATTGTTTCCCGCACGTAGCCATGTGGCAGGGCCGCGGTGCAGCGGGGCTGGAGCTCGGTGCCCACGCGGAGCCGGTAGGCTGCCTCTGACAGTGCTGCCTACAGGCTCTGCCCACGGGGCCACTTTTGACCACACGTCTCCTCTAAGCCCCGGTGGCCTGGTCTGGATCATCTATACAAGTTCCAAGCCAAGTGTGTCGTGTTTGGGGTGCTGGGTTAGCGTTCAACCTGTGACCCTAGGGACACAGTGTGGGCTGCGGCGGCTCTGTGTGGGGCCAGCAGGGCATGTCCCTGGGGCCGGCAGGCACGTTCTCCCCAAACCTGTGCCCATCATAGCTCATTGTCCAGTGATGCCCAGCTGTGCAGCCTCTGCCGACTATAGCTCTTCCTGGGGTTCCCTTGCCCTCAGGTGGCAGCTCCACCCCCAGGGCCCTGGCTGCCCCTAAAGGCTGGCTGCGTTTTGCAAGGTGCACGGCCTTTGGGTAGCAGACGCCAGCGGGTGTCCAGTGGGTTGTGTGGGCCCCTCCTGGTGTGGGGCCTGCGTTGGGGGTCAGCAAGAGCCACCTCACCAGCGGACCGAGCCATGGACAGACTGGCAGAGAAGAGGTTGAGATCTGAGCCCTGAAAGGCTCTTTGGGGATGAATAGAGGGACAAAACCAACTAGATCCTGTAACTGAGTGTCGTGTGGGGCTTCGGTGCTTTTCTCGGGAGGAAGGTCCCAGAGACAGCAGTCAAACGGTAAAGCCACAAGGAGAGAGGGCGTCAAGGCAACCAAGCTGGGAAGCCAAGAAGGAAAGTTTAGGGGTACATGACCCCCCTAGAGGTGGGCCCCCCCTCGGGTCAGGTGGTGAGGAACACTCCAGCTGATCGGCCCCATTCCTCTGTCTCCAGGCAATGGTCACCAAGCAAGCTGCCCAGGGGGCCAGCGCGCCTGACCTGCGCTTGCAGTACCTTCGCCAGATCCACACCAACCACGAGGTGAGCCCCAGTGCTTCCCCCGTGGGCATGGTGTGAGGGGGCCTGGCCTGGGAAGCTGGCTCAGGGAGTGGGCCTGGCTTCCTGGGCCGGGGCGAGCGGGCAGGTCCCGTTTCCCACCTCTGGTGCTCCACCTGTGCCCTCGCCACGCCCCCGTGGGTCCCTGTGTGTGGACAGCCACATACCCGTGTGCTTCCGGGGCTCAGCCCACCCCTTGGCCCAAGGGGGTGCGGGTCCCGAACATGCTGCCACCCACAGGCCCTGCTGCGGGAGGTGCAGGCCCTGCGAGACCGGCTGTGCACGGAGGATGAAGCCAGCTCCTGCGCCACGGCCCAGAGGCTTCTGCAGGTCTACAAGCAGCTGCGCAACCCCAGCCTGGTCCTGCTGTGAGCGGGCGGCCTGTGCTCTGCCCGCGCTCCCTGCCTACTGACCGCCGAAAACACTTGAATGTGAACATACGCCAGGCGGGCCAGGAGGTGCTGGGGAGGGTGGCGCGGGATGGCGCGATGTCTGCCCCTCGCTCCCGCCCTTGCTGCCGGCAGCTGCTCACCAGGTGCCACCCGCCGCCGCCGGCTCGCACCCTGCCTGAGCTGGGCTTGTTCTGCAGGGCTGCCCCACAGCTCTCACTGCACCACTGCAGCTCTGACCAGTCAGCCACATGGCACAGACTTGGGCAGGCCACAGCAGTGTTGCTCCCACAGTTCCCACCACACTCCCAGAGCCCTGCTGCCCCTCTGGGGCCCCCGGGGGGAGGGTGCCCCCGCGACCAAAGCACAAGGACCAGGTGCCAGCCCCTGTGGGCACCACATGCCAAGGCCAGGGCTGTGCCCAGCACTGTGCTGCTTTGAGGATCAGGGTGGGGGGCACGGCCCACGACAGCCCCGCACCCCGGCCCCCTCGCTCAGCCGTGCACTGCCCGGCTGCTGGTGCTGTTTTTATTACGGGGTGGGCATGTGCCTGGACTTGGGGGGCTTCGGGCCACCCCTGTGCAAGCTCATCTGTGTGTGTGCAGGCGCTGTGAGGTGCTTTGCTGACAGGTGACCCTTTCTACAGAGCTCCAACCTTGGCTGTTGTGGTTTTTGTTGTTACCCTTCTCCACCCTTGGGCTCTTCCCAGCTTCTCCTTGGTCCTAAGGCAGGAGGGGCAGGAGGGATGGAGAGCTGAGGAGGGAGGCCCCCCCCCCACGCCCCCAGCCACTGCTGGCTATGCAGGGTCCCATGTATGCCTGGCCTCTGGGTTATTCTGTGACATCCCAAATGGGAGCTTTGAGTCCGGCCACTGGCCAGTGCTCATGGACTGCCTGGCGGTGAGGACCACTGGTCCGGATGGAGGACCTGCAGGGTCTGCACCCACCCACCTTGGGAAGGGGGCTTGGCCCAGGCTGCGCTGGCTTCTGCCTGCTATATTTGACACCTGTTGTCCCCTACTGGACATCATCGGCTGCAGGGGCCCAGCCCTGGGACCTGGGCACCGCAGACCCTCCAGCCCCAGGGTACAGCAGGCTGGGAGAGCCAGAGCTGTCCCGAGGCCTTGGTTTACTGCCAGACCCAGACAGGAATGAGACCTCGGGCTATGATGCGGTCAGCTGGGGTGTAGCTGATTTGAGGGGTCAGGGTGTTGTTTAGTGTGCTCATCAGTGGAGTAAAAGCCACTGCTGTTCCAGCCTGGTGCCCTGCCTCACCCAGGGCCGCCCAGAGGCCCCTGACCTGCCCTGCCCACCTCCCCAGATGACCCTGCCCTGCCCACCTCCCCAGACGACCCTGCCCTGCCCACCTCCCCAGACGACCCTGCCCTGCCCACCTCCCCAGACGACCCTGCCCTGCCCACCTCCCC